ATCGCGGGGGGGGCTCAGCGGGACCCCCACCTGCGGGGGAAGGAGGGAATCCCATGCTCATTAACACACCGGGGGGGGGGGTAATTAACCCCACGCGGCTGCTGATTAACGGGGGATCGGGTGGGTGGGTGACGGGGTGGGCGGGGGTCCCTCTGCCCCTATAAGTGCCCGGTGGGGGGGGGAGTCTTGGTGTCTGTGGGGGCTTCACGTGGGCTGAGAATTCATTTGTGTATTTTTTGGGGCGTGAGTGTCGCGGTGCAGTTTTGGGGAGGGGCTGCCAGGGGAGCAGAGGGGTCTTGCAGGGGAGGGGTCTTGCAGGCTGGGGGTCACCACGGTGCTCTGTGTGTGTGTCCCCCCCAGACCGAGACACCCCCGAGCCATGTCCCTCACAGAGAGCAGCGAAAGCACCTCCGAGAAACCCGTGTCCCTCATTTGGGGTAAGCACCGGGACCCCCCCCCGAGGGGTTTGGGGCTGCCTTGGGGTGCCCCCCTCTCGCCCCGTGCCCCCGCCCCACGGCTGGGACCCCCCGAGGGGTTTGGGGCTGCCCTGGGGTGCCCTCCCTGCCCTGTGCCCCCCACCCCACCACTGTGCTCCCCTCTGTGCCCGCAGGGTGTGAGCTGAGCAAGCAGAAGGACTCCTACACCTTCCAGATGCCCGAGGGCTGGCACTGCGAGCAGCAGCTGGCCCTGCGCACGGTGGGTGACCCCCAAAACCACCCCGGGGGGTGCCTGGGGGTCGTGGGAGGACCGTGAGGGGTCACGGGGGGGGGTGTTCTCCTTGCTGCCTGCAGGGGATGGCCCGGGGTGAATCCCACGTGCTGGAGGTTGTGATGGGGGCTGCTTGTGCCCACGTGCCCCTTGGCCAGCCCAAATCCTGGGTCATCCTGGGGGGTCACTGAGGGGTTTTTCTTCTCGCTGCCTGGGGGGGAGATGACCTGGGATGAATTCCCTGGTGGAGACTGTGCCAGGCGAGGAGGGGGCTGCTTTCACCCTGGTGCCCCTTGAATCCTTGGGGGTCCTGGTTGAGGGGTACTTGCACGCCATGAGAATCCTGGGGGGATTTTCTTCTCCCCCTGCTCCAGATCTGCCTGGGGGAGTCGGCCCGGGATGAATTCCACGTGGTGGAGATGGTGGCAGAGGAGGGGGACGCCCGGACCCCGGTGCCCCTCGCCACGCTGAAGCCGTCGGTGCTGCCCATGGTGAGTGCCCCGGGGAGGGGGCTGCTGCTGGCCTCGGGGAGGGGGCTGATGGCCCGGGGGGCTGCCAGGGGAGCTACCACCCCCCTGTTTTGCAGGCCACGCTGGCGGGAGTGGAGCTGATCCCCCCTGTCACCTTCCGCCTGAGAGCCGGCTCGGGGCCCGTCTACATCAGCGGGCAGTACATCTCCAGTGAGTGTGGGGGTCTCCCCCTGCCCTGGGACCCCCCTCCCCGGGTGTGGGGGCTCAGCCAGGCTCTCCCGCAGTGATGACCTCAGATGAGGAGGAGGAAGAAGAAGAGGAGGAGGAGGAGGAGGAAGAAGAGGAGCCCCCTCAGAAACCCCCCAAGGACCAAACCGCCCGGAAAGGCGGCGCTGCCAAGGTCAGCACCCCCTTGGGTGGGGGGTGAGGGGTGCAGAGGGGTCCCTGTGCCATGGGGAAGGGGGGGCAGGGACCCCGAGCCCCTCTCTGTTGAGGGGATGAGCCGTGACCTTCATCCCTTGGGGAGGAAGAATCCCAGGCTCTGGAACAAGTCCTCATCCTGCTTCTCCCTCTCTCTCTCCCCCATAGAAGAGAAAGCTGGAGAAGAAGGATGAGCCGTGAGTATGATGGAGGGGGAAAAGCCTGGAGCAGGGGCTGCCCACCCTGCTGGGACCCCGATCCCAGCCCTCCCCTTCTCTCCCAAGCAGGAACAATGCCGTCCCTGAGGATCCCCTTCCCGGCAAGGTAGGGGCTGGTTGGGGTGTCCCTTTGCATCCCCCCTCACCCCGGGGGTCAACACGAGGACCTGGGGAAGGGGATGTGTGATGGGAACCCAAAAAGGAGAGGGGCAAGGCAGGGCTGGGGGCTCCCTGGGCCGGGGGTGGTCCCTGCTCAGCCCTGTCCCGATCCCTGCAGGGCCGTGGAGCCGGGAGGGGCAGGAAAGCAGCGCCGAAGAAATGATGGGATGTGTGGCAGGTACGGAAAGGGGTGTGGGGGATGATGTCCAGGTTTGAGGGGGCCTGTGGGTGCCCCCAGCTCATGGCTGAGTGGGACTGGGGAGGATCCATCCCCCAAAGCGGGGTCATCCCGGGATCCCTGGGCCTCAAATCCTTCCTCCTTCCCTTTTCCAGGTGCCGGAGAGCCCGAGAGAGCAGCTCTGATGCTGGTGTCGTTCCCAAATAAAGGATATTTTGCGCTCCTGGCTCCCCGTGCTGGGAATAGGGGGGACTGTGGGAGAATCCTCCATCCTGGTTAGGGCTGCTGGGAGGCCCGGGGGGGTCCGGGGGCAGCCCCCGCTGCCCGAGGGGTAACAAGTGGTGCCTGTGAATAGGAGACAAAGGGGGATTAGGGAGCAGCGGGGAGACGATTAGAACCCATTGACCTGCCCTTGGTCTGCAGCCAGCGGGGGTCTGGGCAGGGTCCCGAGCCCCTCAGCGGCTCTCGGGGGGCTGCCGTGTCCCGGCTTGGCTCCGGGGGGGGGGTCCTGAGCCCCCCACCAAGGCGGCTTTAGGCTGCTCCAGGTGTGGGGCAGGAGGGGAGGGGGCGTTGGGGGGGTTTTAATCCTGCTCTGCACCCACCGGGGCTGCTGGGACGAGGCTGAGGAGCTGCTGGGATGGGAGGGGAGGGGTGGGGGGGGTGTCTGTCCTCGAGGGCCACCCGCGGGAGGCTGTGACAGGCAGCCCTGTCCCTCCAGCCTTTCCTCGCCCCGCAGGGGCTGTTTGCACAGCGGGGCCCCCCCCGGGGTTGTGCTGACAGCTCCCGGGACCCTCTGCCCCAGCCCGGGGGGGGCCACACCGCGAGTGATGACGGCTCCACGCCCATCAATCATCGCCCGCGGCTGGGGGGGCCGAGGCACAGCCCCCTTCCCTCCCCCCGGGGGTGCTGAGCCCCCAGGATTGGGGTGGAAGGGGGTTTTGGAGCTGGGGGGGGTTGCTGTGTTTGTGCTCTCGGGGTTTGGGCCGAGTTCCTGCCCCTGGAGGTGTGAAGGCGGGGGGGAGGGAGGATCTAATTTGGGTCGTTCACACCAAATCAGTGCCCCCCCACCCCGCAGATGGGGGTGTGGGTACCCTGCTGCTCCCCATCCTGCCTGTCCCGGGGGTCTGGTACCCCCTGGCACCGAGGGGGAGGCTGAGGCACGAGCAGGAAGGCAAGTAAGTGGTTTTGGAACTAAACCCCTCCCTCCCTGTGCTGCTCCTCAGGGGTGTTGGAGCCCCCCCAGGGGTTACCCCAGCTCCCTGCCGGGGCATTTATAGGGCACTTAACACCTCCCGGGGCCAGCAAACGGCTGGCGGAGGGGTCCACAGCCTCCCCCTGCTCGGGGGGGAGGTGAGACCTGCTGGGTCGGGGTGGGGAGGGGGTCCCCAGAGCCCCCCAGCACTAAAGCAGTTGGTGGGTGATGCACAGGCCGGGCCCGTGCCTGGCAGCCTGGTGACAGGAGGGTGACAAAAAGCGTCCGTCCCGCAGGCCTGGTACCCTCTCCACGCCCCACAGCATCATCTCCGTGGGGTGGGGTGTGATGGGGACCCCCAAGCAGCCGAACCCTCCTCCCACTCCCCCATCCCACCCTCCTTCCCTGCGCGGAGCCTCTGCCTCCCGGGAGAGGTCCGGCCCCTCTTGGCGGGGCTCTCCCCCCACCTTTAAAGGCTGCCCCTTCCCCCGGGTCCCACCTCCGGGCCGGGCTCCATGGGTTGGGGGGCTGCGGGCGCTGCCCCGGGCGGCGGCACCGGCCCCAGGACCGGAGGCTGATGGGGTGGGGGCGCCGGGGGCGGGATGGACCTGGATGCCCCCGAGGTGTAGGACGTGCAGCCCCCAGGGCCGGAGGAGGAGGAGGAGGAGGAGAAGCTCCTGCCCCGGCTGCCACCCCCATGCTCCGGCGCTGCCCCGGAGCCCTTGGCATCGCGCGTGGGATCTCCTGGACCCTCGGACACCCCCAGAGGGGGGATCTCCCCGGCGAGGAGGGCGCGGGAGGGTCCTCGGCTTCCCCTGCCGCGGCGAGGAGCGGGGCTGGCACCGCGGCGAGCCCGCCGTGGCACCGCCGGTGGCCCCCGGTGGCCGGGGGGCTTCGAGCAGCACCATGCAGCCCCTCACCCTGCAGAACCTCTCCATGTAAGAGCCCCTCTCGCTGCCGCCCCCCGTTTATTCTTTATTCTCATCCCCGCTCCTCGGGAGGAGAAAACAACCAACTCCCAACGAAACTCCCCGGTTTTTTACCCCCCTCTTTTTTTTTTTTTCCCTGTAGATGTTTCCAGCTCCTCATGTTCTCCTGTCAGACGCAGGTAGGTGGATGTGCTTTGCTGACCCCGGGGTGGGCAAAGGTGCTCACTCTGTGACCCCCCTCCACCCCAGGCTGACCCTTAGCTTTGGGGGGTGCCCGTTGCCCTGGGGGGGGGGCTTTGCCGGGGGCTGGTGTGTGCCCACCCTGAGTGGCAGCGAGTCCTGGGCAGGGAGAGATTCAGGGCTGGAGCTCCAGGGATGGAACCCCGGGCAGAGAGGGATGCAAGGATGGAGTTCCAGGGATGGACCTCCAGGGCAGGAGGGATGCAGGGCCGGAGCTCCGGCCAGGGAGGGATTCAGGACTGGAGCTCCAGGGCTGGAGGGATGCAAGGCTGGAGCCCTGGGCAGAGATGGATGCAGGGATGAAGTTCCAGGAATGGAAGGATGCAGGGCTGGAGCTCCAGGGATGGAAGGATTCAGGGCTGGAGCCTCGGACAGGGAAGAATGCAGGGATGGAGCTCCAGGGCTGGAGCCCCAGGCAGGGAGGGATGTAGGGATGGAGCTCCAGGGCTGGAAGGATGCAGGGGCAGAGCCTCACGGATGGAGCCCTGGGCAGGGAAGGATGCAGGGCTGGAGTTCCGGGCAGGGAGGGATGAAGGGCTGGAGCTCCAGGGCTGGAAGGATGCAGGGACGGAGCCTCACGGATGGAGCCCTGGGCAGGGAGGGATGCAGGGATGAAGTTCCAGGGCTGGAGCCCCCGGCAGGGAGGGATGCAGGGCTGGAGCTCCAGGGCTGGATGGGGGGGTTGTGTCCGTGCCAGAGCTGCGCTTGTGCCCCTCAGCACCGACCTCGAGGGGCTGCAACTGGGGGTTCAGCAGTGGGGATCACACACCCCCTGGGCCCCTCCTGCCCCTCCGGAGGGTGTGGATAAGGCTGCAGGGATGCCATCCCGTGCAGGTGACACGTCCCTCGCAGCCCTGCTCGAGCAGGGGGATGTGCCGGGTCCCTCAGCCGGGAGCTGCTGCCGAGGGGGTTAACGGGGTCTGGACCCCCAGCAGCGGGAGGGGGTGTGAGGTTTGACACCCCCTCTCCTCTCCCCCCCCCCGCACCCTCTGGGGCTGCACCGTCGCTTTTTGTGGCTTTAGAAAAAGGCAGCGCCTTTTAAAATCCACTGTTCCATATCAGCACCCTCTGCTCCAGCGCCCGAACAAAACCCCCGCGGCTGCGGCCCCGCCGCATTAAAACATCCCCGGGACCTTTTTTCTTTCTTTTACACTCCCCCCCCTTTTTTTTTTCCCCTTCCCAAGGTAAACGCTTTTATTTCTTTGAAAATGAGAGGGGAAGGGAAGCGCCTTTGATGGAGAGGGGCCGCCCCCCCTCCCATCCCATCCCACCTCCCCCGACAGCCCCAAAGGCTTTAAAGCAGATTCCCGGCAGGAAATGAGTCCCCGGGCGCACACAAAGGTGGGCAGGGAGTTTTGGGGGGGGGCACCATCCCATTATTCCGTGCAGGGCTGGATCCCCCCCTGCCTTCCCAGGGAGGGGATGTGGGCGGCAGGTCCTGTGCCCCCCTCCCAGACGATGCTGTGCACCCCAAGCTGGGCCGGTGGGACCCCAAATGTCCCCCCCCCCCGATGCATCCCCTGCCCACAGACCCTTCCAAGCTGGTTTTGGGGCCGGGGTCCCTCGGGCGCTGCCCTGAGCCCCTCTTACACCGGGACTAAAGTGAGTTTTCCTTTAGGATGTGTGTTGAGAGGGTCTGGTTGGAGTCCAGAGCGGGATGGGGGGGCTGCCCACCACCCCAAATCCCCCTCCTCACCTCACCTGCCCTAATTAGCTGCTGTTTCCCCTCTGACCACCCTCGAGTGCTGCTCCTGCCTGGTCAAGAGCTGTCTCAGAGTCCAGGATGTTTATTCCAAGCTCAGGACGGACAGGGAGGGGACAGCTCTGCTCCTGGGACACCCAGCCTGGCTCTGGGGGGTCTCACCCGCTGTGAGGGACTTGCTGGGGGTTTCCCCAGCTCAGCTCCTGCATCCCAGGCTTTCCCTGGGGCCTGCTGAGCATCCCTGGGGTGGCTGTGCCGGGAGGAGAACACCCTTCTCTGCATCCCCCTCCTGCCTGGGATAATAAACAGGATCTCTGCCCACCCCATTCCCGATCCAAAGCAAGCCTTGGCTGCTGCTCCAAGGGAACCAGGGGGCTGGGAGCTCCCTTTGCCCATTCCCAGGCTCTCCCCCCTGCTCCCCTTGCCGTCCCAAAGCGAATTGATTCCGTTTTTCCCTTTGTAAACAAAGGGGGAGAACCAACCGTCTCCTAATTTTAACCAGTACGTGAGGGACCAGGGGGCCATGACGGACCAGCTGAGCCGGCGGCAGATCCGGGAATACCAACTCTACAGCCGGACCAGCGGGAAGCACGTCCAGGTCCACGGGAAGAGGATCACGGCCACCGCCGAGGACGGCAACAAGTTCGGTGAGAGGGGCTGCTCAACCCCCCCGGGGGGGTCACCCTGCTCATGGAAACACCCAGGGAATGTCTCTTCCCAAAGTGTTTTGGAGGGGGAATGGTGTGGGGGGAGCTGTTCCAGCCCGGCTGGTTTAATACCCAAGAATTCCCTCCCCGGGTAACTCCGGTGAGAGGCTCGGCTCCGAAGAGCCCTGACCTCAAAACTTCCCAAATCGTGGATTTCTCCGGCTCCGTGCAGAATTTATAAGCCACATATTCAGGGCTTGTGCTTTCGAATCCCTTCCTGGCACGAGGCAAACAACTTTTTCCTGGGGGAGAATTGCCCGATCCCGGCATCCACCTCTGAAATATCCACAGGTGGTGGGCAGATCCCATCCTGGCCACACCACCTTTCCCATGGGATTCTCCAGCCTGGCCATCCCAGCCCCACAAATCCCCCAGGCTGGAATCCCTCAGAACTTCAGGAAAGGCTTTTCCAAGCCTGGTGAGCAGCGAGGCTGAATCACCACCTTTCCGAGG